TCTCTCTCTCTCTCTTTCTGTCTTGAGCATGGCAACTTTTGTATTCAGAGTGCACAGTGGAGACCAGTGATATCGTCTTTGCAGAAATGTCTAAAATGGTATGCCATTGTGCATTTTGAAAACTAATAAAATGTTATTTGCATGTACATCTTTGTCTATGTATAGTTGTGTTCAGGTATTTATATATTATAATTACATTGTGTATACAGTGTCGGTACTCCAATTTCCCAAAGGGAATCAGTAATGATTAATTAATAATAATAATATTACATTCTTTTAACTTTTTTCTGTACCCAGCCGAGAGCCGTTCAAGATCACAGCCGACCTGACATTCCGCGGGGAGCAGAGCACAACGCTGGAAAACACTCTCAACACCATCATCATGGAGAGTGCCAATAGGTGAGAGACAGCTCAGGGGGTAGGAGTCCGAGTGGATTTGCTCGTTGTTGTTGTTGTTGTTGTTGTTGTTGTTGTTGTTGTTGTTGTTGTTTGTGTTGTTGTTGTTGCTATTGTTCTTGTTGTTATTTAATTTTAATCCTTTTTCTTGTTTTGTTGTTGTTGTTGTTGTTGTTGTTGTTGTTGTAATTGTTTTAATTCCTTTTCTTGTTTCCTTGTTGTTGTTGTTGTTGTTGTGTTGGTGTTGCAATTATTGTTGTTGTTGCTGTTGGTGGTGGTGGTGCTGTTGTCGGTGTTGTTCCTGTCCTTGTTCTTGTTTTTGCTCTAGTTATTGTTGGTGCAAATCAGAAACCTGAATTTGTATTGTTCATATTACGCATGTTGTTACCTGTCGTTTTAGTTTCAGATAAAGAAAATTGAACTGAAACACTCTTCAGGGATAAATATGAAGCAGTGCCCCCAAAACAGCAAGTCTTCAAGCGTTGTCGAATGGCCGGAATGATCTTCCTCAAGGAGATAATTCTCCTAGTTCAGGACTAGCGGTTGGTTGGTCATTTTTCTGGTGTGGCTTGTTCCTTATTATCCGATCAAACATCTATCGTCTGTATCTCC